GACTATCCATCATGACCTGCTGTTAGGCATTTTTATGTTCAAACCATCTTATGTGGTTATTTTTTATCTCTGGGTTTATAAGGTCCACTAGGCAGGCCTTCCCTGAGCTTGACAGGTTTAGTATGTGGCTTTTGTCCAGAAATGAAAAAAAAAAAAAATGGTATACAGAGGACATCAACAACAGACTTGGTCAATCAGAAGAAAGAATCTTTGAACTCAAAGATAGGCTAAATGTTTTTTTATTAATTGGGTTAAATCATGTTAAACAGATCTCCTTACTCAGGACTTTTCAGAGTCCTTAATAAACTAATATTGTTTGAGAATTTCCAGTATAGAATGCAACACTAAACATTTCTAAAATTTCTTAAATGTTTTAGCTATGGAATACTTCTTTCATGGACCAGTATTTGGCAGAGCCTGAGCTTGAGAAATGCTAGCCTAACACAATAGTGTGGGGATGGGATAATATTATAATGGTATTTGTTGGGGAACCCTAGGAACCTGAACATCTATCTAATCACATCCTTGACAAACCACTCCTCTTTTAAAAATCCCGTGAGGGAAATTCATGTCCAGAGGACAATCATAGGTGAATTGATACTCATTGTTAATCATATTTGACTCCTAGCCAAACAGAGTAAAAGAAAATGGACCATATAAAGAATGCTTTGTGTCTAGATTAAATCAAATCTAGAGTAGAACTAGATTTGATTTAATCTATCTAGTAGGAGAAAGGGTGTCCTCTTTCCTTTGCCTACATCTTTGATTTTCCCACCCTGAAGATGAGATAATGTTGAGCCAAAGAGCAGTAGAAAAGGAAAAAACAAGAAAGGAATGCTTGCCCCACTCAAGGCTCTCTCAGGTATTGACAATTGAAACAAGGAAGTGCATTCTTGGCCCTCTGACCTCACCTGCCAAGGCAATCCAAAGAGACAATGAAGAGTACCAGAAAAAGAAAGAGTTTTCACCTAAACTCTTGGATGTTGAGTTTTCTAAGGGCTGGGCTTTGAGAAGGGAAGCATATCAGCAATCCATCAATCCATTTGCTCTATCATTAATTTGTGTAGATCTCCAGGTGTGCAGTATACCACAGATGGGCTTTGTTCTCAGGAACTTGCTTTTGCGGGGTACTGGGGTGACAGACAAAAACTGATGAAATCAACAAATATATATTTATATATAATTAAAAATTCCACATATAAAATATTTAAAATTCCTTCTCTTTTTCTTTAAGCACATTCGTAAATTTGGCTTTCTGGTCTCCTTCTAGCCAGCTGAGATCTATCTCAGTTCATATCTGTTCTTCCGTCATCACTCCTCCTTTCTACTTCTTCTGACTGCTCAACAAATTACCCCCAAACTTAGCAGGATAGATTATGCTTGTGGATTTTATGGGTCAGGAATTCCAATGGGGCATAGTAGGATGGCTTGCCTCTGCTCCACAGTATCTAGGGCCTCAGTTTGCATCTGTAATCATCCAAAGGCTCCTCCACTCACATCTGTGGTCCTTCAGCTGGGACAACTGGAAGACTAAAACTGCTGGCTAGAGCGCCTATATATGGCCTCTGCATGTGGCTTGAGCTTTCTCATAGTGTGGAGCCTCAGAGTAATCAGACTGCTTACATGGTGGCTCAGGGATCCAAGCATAAGGGTTGCATCATCTTTTCTAGCCAACCTTGGAAATCACAGAGTATCACTTCTGCATACTGTATTGTTCAAAGGAGTCACAGTTCACCCAGGTTCAAGTGGAGGGGCCATGTATTTTATCTCCTAAAAAGGGATGTGGTACGATCACACTGTAGAGGATCATTTGGTATGGAGCAACAGTTACGGCTATATTTGGAAAATACACTCTTCTATACACACCTTGTCACCCTCAGCTCACTAATCATCTGTAGCTGCCAGTTTTTGCTTTGAATGCATGTTGAATATTTCAAAGTCTTTTCTGTACCTATGTTATAAAAGTATATAATTTTTCTCTGTCATTACCTTAGTACAGAAAGCTACTTTTAATGTATCTATTTGTCTGTGCATGTTTTAGACCAAAAGTCTGCCATCTCATGGCATGAGTGATTAGTGCAGACATAGTCAAACAGGTTGTAAGGAAAAAAGAAAGGGAACTAGTATTTATTAAGGACCTACTGTGTGCCAAGCATTTCAATAGCTATTTTATTTCTTTACATCTTTCAGTTCTATCCAGCCTTCTTTTTTGTGAGTGTCACTTCTGTAACTTGTTTTCACAAGTAAAGGATGGAAAACAAAAGAGAAATGTCTCCTAAAATTACATGTAGGCAGAATAGGGAAAAAAGCAGTAGAAATACAGAATTAGGGAGCTCAAAGACTCACATATGTGAGCATCTTTTGCATGACCAAATACAAACACTGCTTGGAACATAAGAATTCCATAATGGGAAGCTAAATGATGATGGTGATTATATTATAAGCTTCTTGAGGACATAGACCATATCACATATGATTGCATCCTCAATAATCACTTGCAATAGTACACATTCAATGTATATATGCTGGTTGATTGAAGAATCCACCCTCCAAGAGCAGAGGTAGTAAATTGAGGCAGGGATTATTAATCACAACATGGTGTTCTAGTGTTTGAAAGTTTAAATGTAGGATTTGAGAAGAAGGATAACACGTCACTTCTAGGTGGAAGTTCTACAAAATAACTATACATAAGCATCCTATAGAAGAACATTCTTCCCAGTCCTGGCATTTGGAAAATGCGTTTTGAATGAGATAAGAGTACCGTTGGTGTATCAGGATGCATTCAACTACAGGTAATAGAAAAGCTGACTAATTGGAACATTTACTATTTCCTTGATAAAATGCCTGGAAGTAGGTGACTCAGTGGTTCCAGTGCCCTGGGTGAAAATCTATTTCCTCTAATTCAGAAAATGGCTGCTCCACTGCAGGTGTCACATTCTCACACAGTTGCACTCCAGGTAGGAAAAGCCAGCATGGGTATAACACTTACCTTCTTGTGATGGTCTTCTACCTTTATTCATGAAGAAAACCTGTGTCTACCCAGAGCAGCTCCATCCCTCCATGTCAAGTCCTCCATCCAAGGCAGGACTTCATATGACAACCTGTTCTATCCTGTGATTACAGTAATTTTGGATTTGTCCTTTTTTCCAAGAGGAGAAATGCACAGTCAAAACAGAAGGCAAATTAATCGTCTCAAATATTTTCCACCTACCTTTTGCATGTTAGGAATTGTGGTGGGCACTTTTTACTTTTTTTCCTCACCCAAGGACATTTTTTTCATTGCTTTTAGGGGGAGGGGAGAGAGAGAAAGGAAGGAAGAAAGAAACAAGCAAACATCAGTATGAGAAACATTGATTGGTTCCCTCCTATATGCGCCCCCACTGGGATTGAACCCACAACCTAGGCGTATGCCTTGACCAGGGATAGAAGCTGAAACTTTTTGGTTTACAGGACAACACTCCAAACAACTGAGCTACACCAGCCAGAGCTGTGGTGGGCACTTCTGGTTTACAGAAGCAGCATGACACTAACTCTGTAGGAAATTTCAGTCTATTGGAGGGCCAGATGTGGAAACATACACTTTTAATACAATTCAGCAAAAATAAAATTAGTATAGTGTGCTGTGGGGCCACAGTTCATAGGCAGTTAGCTCCACTGGGAGTACCCAGGAAGACCTGGCAGGGAGAGAGTCCAGTCTGAAACTTTATGGATCACTGTGCAAAGGACCAGCATCCTGAGAGAAGTCAGTATGGAAAAAGAGCAGTGACAATATTCTCTATGATGTTATAATGGTGAATACTTTTGTCCAAACTCAGAATGTACAATACCAAGGGTGGAAACTAACATAAAGCATGAATTTTGGTTGATGACAATGGGTGTATGTAGATCCATTGATTGTAATAAACGTACCACTTTGGTAGGGGATGTAGTGTTGATGAAACTATAAGGGTAGGGACAGGGGGTGCATGGGAACTCTGAACTTCTCACTCAATTTTGCTGTGAGCCTAAAACTGCTCCAAAAAATAAAAGGCACTGGGACACTTGGACTCCTCAGAGTATGCAGTTCTTTAAGTGGTAGAGGAAGGAAAGTCAGTGATCAGTTACAAGCAATAGAAGCAATATATTTAGTAAGCAGGCAGAATGGTCTCAGGCTGTGTTAAATGTCATGAGAGGTATAATCTATTGTTCCAATAATGTCCTTAAATACTCACTGCTCCTGTATCCACACCTTCATGATGTCCTCACCTACATTGACTCCTGGCTTCTCAGTGTGACTTTTTTTGGCGAATTGGGCATGAACAAACCAACCAATTGTCAACAGAGGCTTGCAAAACATTGTACATTAGGCTGTGCTCTTGCGGTTGTGAAATCATCCACACATGTGAAGAAGTCTGCTAGAAGGTGAGAAATCAGGAGCAGAGACCAACTGTTTCAGCTGAAGCCCTCACCTGGAATAACCAGCTTGCTAACCCCAGACATGGGTAAGGAAGCCATCCAAAAGTGTTCTGCCCCAGCTGAGTTGCCCACCGCCATACAATGAGCTAGGGCAACCCGGATCAGAACCATCACCTTGCTGACCTAATATTCTGTATTCATTCAGGCTCCCTCAGCTCAGCCACACTGTCCTGCTTGTCATCCTCAAACCTCCTCAGGGCCTTGGTACTTGCTATTCTCTCTCCTCCAGTAGCCTTCATGTCTTTGCTTAAATGTGACCTTCAGTAAGACATGCCCTGACCAGCGAATTAAAATTCAATTCCTATATCTTTCCTTTCCTTTCCATCCCTTTCCTTCCCTTTCCTTCCTTTTCCTTTTCCTTTCCTTTCTTTTCCTTTCCTTTCCTTTCCTTTCCTTTCCTTTCCTTTCCTTTCCTTTCCTTTCTTTTCATTTCTTCTCTTCTCTTCTCTTGGCCTCCTATTCCCCTTCCTTCCTTCCTTCCTTCCTTCCTTCCTTCCTTCCTTCCTTCCTTCCTTCCTTCCTTCCTTCCTTCCTCCCAATTTCCCATGGGTGCCAGAACCAACAATCATCAGCTGTCCAGATACCAAAAAATTTTGCTTCAGAAATCTCTTGATTTTTATTCCATGCATAGAGCAATCAAGCTGCCCTATATGTGTCACTCACAACAGAAGCTCTTTTTGCTGTATTTTTTCAATGCACTGATTACCTTCGAATAGAATATATGACGTACATATTTATTTGTTTAGCTCATTTTTTTTCCACCAGAATGTTAGCTCTAGTGAGCAGAAACTTAATTTAGTTCACTTTTGTATCTCTGACAGCTAGAACAGCATCTGGCACTGTAAATGCTAAATTAATATTTGTTAAATGAATAAAAAGGAAATTCTCCTCATTGCAATTTTAGAAATTACATTGCAGTTTAAAACTATCATGGCTGTAAACAATGTGGATGTCACTAAATTTAAAAACCTAAGTACAGTACCATTTAAATCTCAGAAAGTACAGAAATTCATTGAAACAGGTAAGAGGAGAGGCATATACACTTTTGGCTCAGATCCCAGTTACCAAGACCCACAATGGTTCTAAATATTTTGTTCTGTTGTTTCTGCAGTTAAGTTTGTCAGAAAAGATCCACAATTTCTGGAAAATATGGCCCCAAAGAGTAAAAGCCATTTTCTCTATAAGAAAATTGTGGACACTAAAGGGCCTCCTGCTTAATACTGTTTTCTAGAGGCTTGTGGAGTAGTGGTCAAGCTCTGAACTGAGTATACATCTCCTACAGGAACAGCCCTCCAGCTCTGCCTTTACCCTGCCTCATTCCTTGTTGTTCCCCTCCACACTTCATGTTTGTAGTCAACTGGACAAACTGGGAGTTCCCTGAACACTTCAGGCCTTTTCCTGCCCTTAGGTCTCCACCTGCACTCTCTCCTTTGTGGCTTTTGTGGGGAAGGAGTTGTGCATTCACCCAATTTCTCTGTTAACCATCATTTGGAAACAACTCAAGAAATAGTTTCCTGAGGACCTCTTGCTCCCTCCCACCCAGTCAGATGGTCTTCCTCAATAGTAATCATTTGTACTAAATCTGTAGGTTGACTTACCCATGTCTCTATGGACTACAAACATCTTGAAGCTAGGGGCTGTGTGTGTAAGACTTGATTTTATGTCTCTAAGACTTAGAAAAACAAACATTTGTTGAATATATGAGTAAATGATCACATATGGCCATAATAATAATTATACTAAGTGCATATGAGACTCCATTCCTGGATCCTGAACATTAGATGTAGATGCCTCTTTCCAGAGCTGACCCCAGCTCAGTGGGAAGTTGAAAAGAGTGGTGCCCTTTTAAGGGCCAAAGTGTAAAGGTGGGACCTTTGTCCCTCACTTACAGGAGAGTCCAAACTGATATTGCCATATTTATTTTATAAGTGGAGTCCAAATTGATGTGGCCACAAATCAGAAATTTGTGAAGCACAAATAGAGATGCATTGAAAGTTATGTCAGCCAACATCAACCAGACTTCAAAAATGAGGAAAGGCAAAACACAGAAAAAATGCAAATGAATGGATTGGAAACATGTATTTTAAGCAGGGAAGGGAAAATGGCAAGACAAAGAAACTAATCGTCCCCCTTCCTCTGAGGGCAGGAGAAAGACAAATGCTACAAGGAAGGCTTGGGTCTTGTCATGAGCGTATGTTCACAATGTAGTCTTTCCTGTATGTCAGCTGGGCAACTGCTTGGCTAGCTGCCTGCTGAGCAGCCCAGCACCAAGGAATAGACAAGAGTCACAAGGTAACCATGCTATTCACTCAGCTTTTATTGAATGTAGGTTCACTCAAAGTAGAACATCAACATACATTAATATCCTACTCACACTCTAACAATCTAAGAGAAATATAACACACACAAAGAGCCATCAGTGGGGAATAACAAACCCAAGTGCCAGAGTCTCAGTTTGAAGGTCTTGGAGACAGCAGGGAGGGCAAGGGAGATGTCAGTGTCTTGCAAGGAAGGATCTCTGGAGGTAGGCAGGCAGCAGGGCAGATGAAGTCCTCAGTCCAGCAAGGCAGACCTCTAGAAGCTGATACCAAGGGAGATCAGCGTAGCATAGAGCAGCATTCTGGTGTGTGGAACTCAGCTATCTCAGCAGTGGTCTGGAGTCTGCCTCAGTTATACCTTGAAAGTGGTGTGTTCCACCCTTCTGGGTCTTTTGGTAATTGGTAATTGCCCAGATATTTTGATAAATGTCTTGGCACCCCTGATGCAAATGGGGAATTTGCCCAGGAGCCTATCTAGGGGTGGTCCTGCTCTGCAGACATGGCTGTTCTGATCACATGTTCAAATATCTTAGGTATGTCTCCTTGCCAGATGTGTCTGCTCTGATCACATGTGCAGATATCTCAGGTAATTCCCCTCTTGAACCTAAGTGTCGTGGCTGACTGGCAGCCATCTTTGTTGACATGAATGACTCCACTTTGTCTTATATACTTTATACTATCTTGACCAGACCAATGCCATTTTACTTGTCCTGTTCTCTATAGATATGCATCCTGCTCTGCCCCAGGATACTGCACCATGTGGCTGTGGAAGAAATGCTGAGGCCTTTCCTGATCACAATGTACAGTTAGTTGCCTTCTCCATCAATAGCAGATTCCACAGGCACCTTTTGAGAAATGGCTTTTTATCCAGTAGGGATTCAGGGGTGAAAACTTTCTCAATGAGAATTGCTGGCTAAAGGAAGCAGGACTCCACAGTTCTTTCAAACCCAAAAACTTTTTTCAAGCAACTGAATTACTCTCACTTCCACTTTCCTGACTTGATTTGAGAGTCTGTCAAAGGTAGTGTTTGATGTCTGTTTTTAAGTTCATTTTCTTACATCTAGTCAAGCACACTTTTTCCCTGCAGAGCTTTTTCTGATCTCTGTACCTAGATACATGATTTCCAGAAAGTGAACAGGGAGGATATAGTAGAACTTAGCAGCCTCCACAGGAGGGCACCAGGAACTCCATTTTTGTGGCTCTGGGATGTCAGGAGCTGAAAATACAGAACTATAACCCAGTTATGGTCAGTTATGTTTCCCTATAAAGTTAACTCTCCATCAACCACCCAGATAGATACTGACACTCTTATTTGTTTGTTTGTTTGTTTTTTGACAATGGTAGATATGACAGATTTAATTAGTTGACACAAATATTATAACAAATAAGTACTTTAAATAGCATGGCCTTCGATTGCTTCTCAGGGGATACAACACAACAAAGAGAAAATCTTCTTTCTAAAATGACGACTGCTGGTAATTCTTTGTAGTCACACATTTTGTTCTTTCTAAAAACTACAAGTCCTTAATTTTGTGATGTTTCTCTAAGGTGAACCGGTCTGAACTCACATTTCTGATAATTCAGTTTTTGCCCAGTAAGTCAAATACATTGCAAAGTCAGGGAAATAAGGATTATTCAAAAACTAGGACTACAAAAGGCCACAGAGCAGGAATAGAGTAAAAAGTATTGAGTTAAAAGATTAGCCTTTATCCCAGATTATCACAAAAGTCACTTAAATATTCGCCTGGTGTCTGTGCTTCCTCCAGATGCTCAGATGCTCAATCTATCTTAAACTACTTATAGATTTATTCTTCCTTATACACATTTTTGATCGTACTGTAGCTACATGTGAAATATTCGACAGCTCCTCATAACTGAACTATAAATGCTACCCCCTTAACCCTCTGGCCATTGCTTTTCTTTCCACACTTCTTGAATCCTCCTTAAGTATGTAAAGTTTCCACATCAGCCAGACTGCACTATTTTGTTTTAGTTTGACTTAAAAGAATACTCTCTTCCTACGCTTGCTCATAAAACCACTATCACACACATGTCAGAAATGCCCAGCTGTGTCTTCATACACCTCCTCATCATTACTATCTTCCCTAGTGAGAGTAACTTTGAACTCTCAACTTCTGTAACACTCTACTCATAGTCAATAATATATTTTTCAACACCCTAAAAAGTCTAAATAGTTATATACATTTTGAGATATGCATAATGTAAGTAAAGCAGAGAATGTATTCCAATTGTCTTTAAACTTGTACCTTACAAAGGTTGCAAGAGAGTCTATCAGCAAGAAGCATGAGGTAGGTGCCTCTGCACTTGCCTGCTGGCGTTCTTGCCATCTCCCTTGACACACCTGGACTGACACTCTTACTTGGACTCATGAACTCACATGAAATTCCAAACACAATTAAAAGTAAATATACTGCCCTGGATGGTGTGGCTTAGTGGATTGAGTGTTGGCCTGTGAACCAAATGGTCGCCAGTTTGATTCCCAGTCTAGGGCATATGCCTGGGTTGCAGGCCAAGTTCTCAATAGGGGACGAGCAAGAGGCAACCACACATTGATGTTTCTCTCCCTTTCTTTCTCCCTCCCTTCCCCTCTCTAAAAATAAATAAATAAAATCTTTTTTAAAAAAGTAAATATGCTAGGACTAAGTCAGGTATCTTTCTCATTTTAGAGAAATTACAAATGGAAGGCACCTTGACAATGTAAAACATTGTTTAAACATGACAGTCCTGTGGGAAAGGGAAGCAGCCTCAGACCTTCCTCAGAAAGAGAACCTTCCTAGTGAGTGATCTCGGAGGCAAGTCAATGCAAAGGATGGTGTCAAGATTCCTTTCTGTTCTCTTCAAATCAGCACAGAGAAAGCCGCAGGTGGGCAGATGACCCTCATGGATGGTGGTCTTATTTTCCTACAGGGTCCCCACTTTATCCTGCCAATGGGAAACCTCCCTTTACACCCTGGGGGAGCCTGGAAGACTCATTTACCACCCAAAAAAGAGGACATAAAGCTCTACTCAGCTGCACAGATATGCCATAGGTATCAGTGGCAGCATGTCTAAAACTACACCAAAAACGAACACGCAAAGGAAGTTAGCAAAAACACATATTAGGAATCTCTGGGTTGATGATAGAACAGCTGAATTTCAGAAGGAGGAAACTAAGTAAATTTATAATAAAATAACTGGTTGGGTTTTAGGAGGAAATCATCAAGGTAATTATATAAAACCAGTTATCCTTTACATTTATGTGAACAAAGGATTAGCTTTTATTAATTGAATTATTGTTGTTTTATTTTCTTGTGATCAGCTTGTGTTTTTTGGAAAGTAATTTTGTATATCTAGTGTTCTC